GAAAGCATTTTGACTTTTAATTAAGTACATAATTGATCGAAAATATAATACAGGTTACTACTAGACCTCATCTAAATGGTAACTCCCCAGAAGACTGAGTTTTCCAGTTTTGAGTTTAGAATGCTGATCTACATAACCCATAACCCAAATAATGGCTCAGTACAGCTTTAGGCTGCGAGGGTGAACACTGGGCTGTATTATAACATGTTTAAGATGTTGGCAATACCGGTTTGTGCATTAACTTGGCAATACCTTCCTCGGATCATCAAGGCACAGATGCTGGAGGTGATGAGATACAAGGGGGATACCTTCCTCAAATTATCAAGACACAAGTGCCAGAGATTTGAGATACACTGGCGATACCTCTCCTGGATCATCGAGGGACGGGTACCTAAGATTTCAAGATACAGGGGGATACCTCTCCCAGATCATCACAGGACAGAGGGGGATACCTTCCTTGGATCATCGAGGTACAGGGGCGTGAAATTACAGAATATAACGAGAGCAGAACTTTTCGAAAGTTCACCGGATGTCCTCAACTCCAGTGGTCACTGCAGATAATAAATAACTTACGATAAACTTAACATTATACTTATAAATGTTACTTAATACTTACAGAACTTGTTAAGTGCATAGGAAGTGACTCCGTGAACATCATGAGGCAGAAGAAAGTGACTCCACCTACAGGAAGAGTGAAACACACAGTGAGTATATCAAGTGAAACACACAGTGAGTCCATCTTGTGAAACACACAGTGACTACATCATGTGAAACACACAGTGAGTACATAATGTGAAATACACAGAGTACATCATGTGAAATACACAGTGAGTACATCACATGAAACATGCAGTGAGTACATCATGTGAAACAGTGAGTACATGTGAAACATGCAGTGAGTACATCATGTGAAACAGTGAGTACATCATATGAAACACACAGTGAGTACATTTTGTAAAACAACAGTGTGTACATCTTGTGAAAAACACACTGGTTATTTTTTAAATCATCGTGAAACACACAGTGGTACATCATGTACACAGTGAGGATATCATGTGAAACACGCACTGAGTACATCTTGTGAAACACACAGTGAGTAACTCATGTGAAACCACACAGTGAGACACATCATGTGAAAAACACACAGTGAGTACATCTTGTGTGAAACAAACAGTGAGTACATCATGTGAAACACACAGTGGAGTACATCATGGTGAAACAGAGTGTGTGGGAGCCATATGTGAAACACACAATGAGTACATCTTGTCAAACACAGTGAGTACATTCTGTGAAACTACAGTGAGACATCTGTGAAAACACAGTGAGTTCATCATGTGAAAAGTGGTGTAATCTTGTGATGAAAACAAACAGTGGTGATAATGTGAAAAACAGTGAGTACAAATCATGTGAAACACAGTGAGTACAATCATGATGTAAACACACAGTGAGTACATCTTGTGAAACCACGGTTGAGTAACATCCTGTTGAAACACCACAGTGAATATATCTTGTGAAACACCAGTGAGTATATTATGTGAAAACACACAGTGTGTACATTTGTGAAACTGCAGTGAGTACATTATGTGAACACACAGTGAGTACATCCTGTGAAACAGTGAGTACACCATTGAACACACACAGTGAGTACATCATGTGAAACACACAATGAGTATATCTTGTGTGAAACACAATACATCATGTAAAACACACAGTGGTACATCTGTGAAACACACAGTGAGTACATTATGTGAAACACAGTGAGTACATCTTGTAAAACACCACAGTGAGTACATCATGTGTAACGAGAGTGGGTGCATCATGTGAAAACACACAGTGAAGTACAGACATGTGAAACACACAGTAAGCACATCTGTGGAAACACACAGTGGAGTACATCTTGTGAAACACACAGTGAGTTACATCATGTGATGAAAACAGATGTGAGTGCATCATGTGAAACACACAGTAAGTACATCTTGTGAAGCATACAATGAGTACATCTTGTGAAAACACAGTGAGTACATATGTTGAAACCCACACAGTGTGTTCATCTTGTGAAACACAGTGGTACATCATGTGTAACACACAGTGGAATATATCTTGTGAAAACACAGTAGTGAGTATATTATGTGAAACACACAGTGAGTACTCTTGTGAAACACGCAGTGGTACATAATGTGAAAACACACAGTGAGTACATCCTGTGAAACAGTGTGTGAGTACACACATTTTGAACACACAGTGAGTACATCATGTGAAATCACCACAATGAGTGTATCCCTAGAGTGAAAACACAATACATCATGAAAAAAACACACAGTGAGTACATCTTGTGAAAAAACACACAGTGAGTACATCTTGTGAAAACAAACAGTGAGTACATTCTTTGGTGAAAACACCGTTAGTACATCCTGTGAAAACACGCAGTGAGTACATCTTGTGAAACACAGTGAGTACATCTTGTGAAACACCACAGTGGGTTACATCCTGTGGAAAAACACACAGTTGAGTACATCTTGTGAACACACAGTGAGTACATCTTGTGAACTCACAGTGGTACATCTTGTGAAACACACAGTGAGTTACATCCTGTGTGAAACGCAGTGAGTACATCTTGTGAACACCACAGTGAGTCATCTGTGAAAACAGTGAAATAACATCATGTGAAATACACAGTGAGTATCTTCATGTGAAACTGTGAGTACCACCACATGAAACAAGCTCCTGTTGAGTACATCATGTGAAACAGTGAGTACTTCATGTGAAACAGTGAGTACATCTTGTGGAAACACACAGTGAGTACATCATGTGAACAGTGAGTTACACCACATGAAACAAGCTGTGAGTAATCATGTGAAACAGTCGAGTACTTCTTGTGAAACAGTGAGTACTCTTGTGAAACACACAGTGGTACCATTCATTGTGAAACACAAGTGAGTACATTCATGTGACACCCAGTGAGTATTCATGTGAAACACACCAGTGTGTACATCTTGCGAACAGACAGTGAGTACATCTTGTGAAACACACAGTGAGTACATTTGTGAACAACACAGTGTGTACATTTTGTGAGAACACACAGTGAGTACATCATGTGAAACACAACCAAGTGAGTGGAATCATGTGAAAACCACACAGTGAGGACATCTTGTGAAAAACACACAGTGAGTACATCTTGTGAAACACAGTGAGTACATCTTGTGAAACACACAGTGGAGTACATCTTATGATGAAACACCAGTGAGTACATCTTAGTGAAACACACAGAGAGTACATCTTGTGAACACACATGTGGAGTACATCTTGTGAAACACGTGAGTACTTCTTGTGAATCACACAGTGAGTACATCATGTGAAACACAAAGTGAGTGAATCATGTGAAACAACACATCGAGTAACTTGTGAAATACACACAGTGAGTTAATCTTGTGAAAACACACAGATGAGTACATCTTGTGAAACACACAATGTGAGTTACATAATGTGAAAACTCAAAAGTGAAGTGAATCATGTGAAACACACCAGTGAGAGTACATTCTTGTGAATGAAACACAGTGAGTACATCTTGTGAAACACACAGTGAGTCCATCTTATGAACACACGTGAGTTCATCTGTGAAACACACAGTGAGTACATCTTGTGGAAACACACAGTGAGTACATCTTATGAAACACACAGTGAGTTCATCTTGTGAAACACACAGGTAGTACATCATGTGAAACACACAGTGAGTACATCATGTGAAACACAAAGTGAGTGAATCATGTGAAAACAACAGTGAGTACATCTTGTTGAAACCACAGTGAGTAACATCTTGTGAAATACAGTGATACATCTTGTGAAACACACAGTGAGTACATCTTGTGAAACATACAGTGAGAAACATGTGACACCACATTGAGTTACATCTTGTGAAACACAGTCATTATAGTGAAGGCACCACAGTGAGTACTTCCCCATGTGAAAACCACTCAGTAAGACATTATGTGAAACGCACAGTGAGTACATCATGTGAAGCGCACAGTGAGAGTACATCATGTGAAACGCAAAGTGAGTACATTCTGTGGAAACACACAGTAAGTACATTATGTGAAAACGCACAGTAAGTACATTATTGTGAAACGCACAGTAAGTAATTATGTGAAACACACAGTAAGTACATTATGTGAAACACACAGTAAGTACATTATGTGAAAACACACAGTAGAGAACTTATGTGGAAACGCACATGAGTACATTTATGTGAAGCCACAGTGAATCTCATGTTGAAACGCACAGTGAGTACATCATGGTGAAACACACAGTGAGTACATTATTGAACACACAGTAAGTACATTATGTGAAACACACAGTAAGTACATTTGTGAAACACACAGTAGTACATTATGTGAAATGCACACGGAGTACATTATGTTGAAGCACACAGTGAATACATCATGTGAAACGCACAGTGAGTCATCATGTGAAACACACAGTAACGTAATTATGTGAAACACACAGTTAAGTACATTTGTGAAACGCAAGTGAGTACATCTTGTGAAGCGCACAGTGAGTACATCATGTGAAACGCACGTGAGAACATCATGTGAAACGCACAGTGCAGTAATCATGTGAAACGCACAGTGAGTACATCATTGTGAATCGCCCAGTGAAAGTACATCATTGTGAAACACACAGTACATCTTGTGAAAACATTTAAATTCTACACTGTAAATCATGTAGAACAAATAGTATTGTTGTATGGATACTGAAATCCATAAACACACTCACGGCACACACTGACGCACACGCCACACTGACACACACGCATGAGAGTGAAGAGGCGGGGGCCAGGAGCTGTGATTCGGACTCCTGGAACCATACTAGGTGAGTACATAAGCAGTCAGGAAATTAGGAGAAAGTTGCAAGGCTGGCAACTAATGGTCCCGGAGCTAAGGGGTATGTCTACGAAATCGTTTAAGGGAAATCGACCTGGGGGGGGGGGACGACACTGGAGGTCTGGAGGGATAGGGGGGACATGATAACGACATTATAAAATAAAACGAGAGGAAATCGAGAAGGTGGACAGAGACGGGATGTTCCAGAGATGGGGACACAGCAAGAAGGGGGTCAAGAGATTTCGGAAGTGAAGACTCAGATGAGTCACAGGGTGTTAGGAAGTATTTCTTCAGTCATAGAGTTGGCAGGGAGTGGGTTAGTCTAGAAGTGACGTAGTGGAGGCAGGAACCATTCATAGCTTTAAAAAAAAGTTATGATAATGTTCACGGAGCAGGGTTTGTGAGAGTGATTTTAGCGGGGGTCCATTAAAGAGGCGGGGCCAGGAGCTATGAGCTATGAATCGACCCCTGCAAACACAAATTAGGTGAATACACACACAACACACACACGCCAAGAGCTACGACTCGAGCCTGCAACACAATTGTTGAGTACAATTAGATGAGTTATACTCACACACACACACACCACACCACACACACACCACCCACACACACACACACACACAACACACAAACACACACAGGGCCAGGAGCTGAGTCTCGGCCCCTGCAAACCCACAAACAGGTAAGTACACACATACCCATTGTGAAATCGATTCCTGCAAATCAACACATACATACTATATCACAGAAAATGTTGCCTTCAATGTACAGCCACACCTCTCAAGGCAGGGCCAGGAGATGAGTCTTGACCCTGTCAACCACAATTAGGTGAGTACTTCTATCTCATAACCCCTCCAAATATATAATTAATAAATCCAAAATAAGTCGTTAATGAACATGATTTTTACTAATTCAACAGGATAATAGAGGGAGGACTTCTAGCTATAGATCGTTGTTCCAGTAAAAAGCTTGTTCTTCTCTTTATGTATATGAGGTGTGTATGTGTGTTGGTAGGAGTGTGTGTGTTGTATGAGTTGTGTGAGTGTATGATGGTGGTGTGTGTGTATGGTGGCGTGTGTGTGTATGTGTGGGTGTGTGTATGAGTGTGTGTGTGTATGAGTGTGTGGTGTTGTATGAGTGTGTGTATGTGTGTATGAGTGTGTGTGTGTGTGTGTATGAGTGTGTGTGGGTGTGTATGAGTGGGTGTGTTGCGTATGAGTGTGTGTGGTGTATGAGTTTCGTGGTGTGTGTGTGTGTGTGTGTGTGCTGTGATGTTGTGTGTTTGTGTTTGTGTGTGTGGTGTGTGTTGTGGTTTATGTGTGGGTGTGTTTATGTGTGTGTGTGTTTATGTGTGTGTGGTGTGTGTGTGTGTGTGTGTGTGTGTGTGTGTGTGTGTCGTGGTGTGTGTGTGTGGTGTGTGTGTGTGTGTGTTGTTGTGTTACTCACCTATTTGTACTCACCTATTTGTGGTGTGCAGGGGGTCGAGTCCTAGACTCCTGCCCCGCATCTTCACCGGTTGTACTAGGCCCGTCTCTCTCCTCCGCCTCCATGAGGCTTTATCAAACCTCGTCTTAAAAACTGTGTATATGTGTGTTGTGTGTGATCAACAATCAATATTTGCCACCAAATAAACTTCATACAGTTGTGACCCGGGTGTGAGATTCGTTAGGATTATTTAACCACGGGGGTTAGCCCCAGGATAACCCAAGAAAGTCGTGCGTCACGATGGACGTGGAAGTGTGAATTGCTCATTACACTATAATTCTGTTCATGATTGTAGCATGTATAAACGTAAAGTAACCATTCTTACAGGATTCATTACCTTTGTAACTGTGAGCTCATACCTTTGTAACTTGTGAGTTCATTACCTTGTACTAGTTCAGCCATAAAAACTTTGGGAGCCCGTCCCTGGCCCATTCGTACCTCTGTAATCTGTAAATACTTTGTAATTTGTCATGATTGTGACTAGACCTACCTGGAGTTCATTAACTTTGTAAATTGTGTAGTTCAATTTTTTTTTTTTTTTTTTTTTTTTAATTTACCTTTTTTCTTTGTAAATTGTGAATTCATTTACCTCTGGTAACTTGCTAGCTATCAAAAACCTTTGGGAGGTCAGTCCTGGCCAATTATTGTACCTCTGTAATCTTTTGACTACCGCCCACAGGAGGGTTATTATGGGGTGCATAATAAACATATGAAACTTAAAACCTAAACTAACTTCTCTTTATTCGCTGATAGTGTTCATTACGAATTATCATGGGTTTATGGACTATATAGTTTTAAGGGGTAGAAGAATAGACGTACCACCAAAGCTACCGTGGGGTGTGGGATTGCAGACATTCGAGTCACAGTTGATGCAGCTGATTAACAACCAGGTCAGGAGAGTTCTAGTTTGTAACTACATCCAGTCCAACAGTAAGTTTGTGGCTGAGTGGCTTACAATACTGGGCTCAGATAGATAATATCTCTAGGTATATGTAACACACCTAAGAAAGAGTTACTTAAGTGTTTGGAGTAAACATACATTACTTGAGGGTGACTTGGTTGCTTGTAGTAGACAGCATACATCATGGTGCGGGTACCTCTGTAGTAGTCTGTCACACTGTTGTCCAGGAAGTTATCACTTAATTCAACCTGCGTATACAAAAAAACTTCTAAATAACACAATGTTCTATGATAAAATAAACTATCGTTAATTAATATGTTATCCGGGTATCACCATAATCCAAAGGGTTCATCTGCACATTGTAAAATATTTATCAATAATTTATAGAAATATTATGTATACATAAACACGCTAAATACAGTCATACAATGTATACTCAGAAACACCTTGGTCACATACTGTGTGGGTAAAGAAACACCTGGGTCACCATACTGTATGGGTAAAAGAAACACCTTGGTCACATACTTTGTGGGTAAAAGAAACACCTTGGTGTCACATCTGTGTGGGTTAAAAGGAACACCTTGGTCACATACTGTGCGTGGGTTAAAGAATCACCTGGTCACATACTGTGTGGGATTAAAGAAAACCTTGGTCACTACTGTGTGGTAATAGGATTGTTTACATGTTTATAACTCTTTTTACAAAGCAATAATTCTTGATCACTTCAGACTGCTGTCTGAAAATATATTGTGTGCAGATGTTGGATGAGTGAGTTCTCAGTGGGGAAATAATGAGTAGATGTTGGATGAGTGGAGTACTCTCATGGAAAGCACACGTGTAGATGTTGGATGATGAGTACTCTTGGTGAGGAAAGTACATGCGTTACATGTTGGATGGGTGAGTACTCTCGGTGGGAAGTGCATAGCGTAACATGTTGGATGAGTGGTGTACTCCTCGGTGGGAAGCACACGTGTAGATGTTGGATGAGTAAGTACTCTTCCTGTAGTAACAACTGGGAATGGAGTGGGTAGTCGTAGTAGTAGATGAAAAGTGGGGCCAGTATAAGTACAAGAAAAGGAACACTGCAGGAGAGCTAAGAACATAAGGGATAGAATATAACCACGAGGAGTGGGAGGAACTGAAGCACAGAACACCACCTTAGGCAGACATATTGAAAACAAAGGAAACAAAAGGGAGGGAAAAAAGGGAAAGGAGAAAAAGGTAATGTTATAGTTACGACATTGTGGATTTTTTTGGTCGTCGAAATTTCAAATGTTATAAGGCTGGTGAGATGTTTGTAGTGTAGCTGCTGGTGAGATGTTTGTAGTGATCAGCTGCTGGTGAGATGTTTGTTAGTGATCCAGCTGCTGGTGAGATGTTTGTAGTGATCCAGTGCTGGTGCGAGTTTGTAGTGTCCAGATGGTGGTGTGAGAGGTTTGTAGGGATCAGCTGCTGGTGAGATGTTTGTAGTGATCCAGCTGCTGGTGATTTGTTTGTAGTATCCAGCTGCTGCGTGAGATGTTTGTTAGTGATCCAAGCGCTGCTGGTGAGATGTTTTCTAGTGAGCCAGCTGTGGAAGTGAGATGTTTGTAGTGATCCAGCTGCTGGTGAGATGTTGTAGTGATCCGCTGCTGGTGAGATGTTTGTAGTGATACAGCTGCTGGTGAGATGTTTTGTTTAGTGATCCAGCTGCTCTGGGAGATGTTTGTAGTGATCCAGTGGCTGCGTGAGATGTTTGTAGTGATCAAGCTGCTGGGTGAGATGTTTGTAGTGATCCAGCTGCCTGCTGGTGAGATGTTTGTAGTGATTCCAGCTGCTGGTGAATGTTTGTAGTGTTCCAGCTGCTGTTAGTGTGAGATGTTTGCAGTGATCCAGCTTGCTGGTGAGATGTTTGCAGTGATCCAGTCTGCTGGGGATGTTTTGCAGTGATCCAAGCTGCTGGTGAGATGTTTGCAGTGTGATCCATGCTGCTGGTGAGATGTTTGCAGTGATCCAGCTGCTGTGAGATTCTGCAGTGATCAGCTGCTGGTGAGATGTTTGTAGTGATCCAGCTGCTGGTGAGATGTTTGTAGGGATCCAGCTGCTGGTGAGATGTTTGTAGTGATCCAGCTGCTGGTGAGTTTGTTTGTAGTGATCCAGCTGCTGGTGAGATGTTTGTAGTGATCCAGCTGCTGGTGAGATGTTTGTAGTGATCCAGCTGCTGGTGAGAGTGTCGTTTGTAGTGATCCAGCCTGTGGTGAGATGTTGTAGTGATCCAGCTGCTGGTGAGATGTTTGTAGTGATTCAGCTTGATGGTGAGATGTTTGTAGTGATCCCAGCTGCTGGTGAGACGTTTGTATGTGATCAGCTGCTGGTGAGGATGTTGTAGTGAACCAGCTGCTGGTGAGATGTTTGTAGTGATCCAGCTGCTGGTGAGATGTTTGTAGTGATCCAGCTGCTGGTGAGATGTTTGTTAGTGATTCCAGCTGCTGGTGAGATGTTTGTAGTGATCCAGCTGCTGGTGAGATGTTTGTAGTGATCCAGCTGCTGGTGAGATGTTTGCAGTGATCCAGCTGCTGGTGAGATGTTTGCAGTGATCCAGCTGCTGGTGAGATGTTTGTAGTGATCCAGGTGCTGGTGAGATGTTTGCAGTGATCCAGCTCCTCCGTTATGCATGAACCTCCATAACAATCTAAATCCGACAGATCAAAAACACTAACATTGAAAAGGAGAGGAAAATGTAATCGATTTAGAGAGAACAATCATATAATCCTCCAAAAAAAATTAGAATATACTAAGGAACACACATAACAATAACTTACACCTTGCATGTTGAGCTGAAGTGCCTCTTTGATCCTATCTATTTCAGCCACTTCACCCAACATCATGTGAAGTTTATCTATCATGGAATTATCAGCGTCGTTAAATTTTCGAAGTAACTGTTCCTCGGCCGTCTTCTTGTGAATTTTTATCATATTTTCAATCTAAAAATATAAAAGAAAACTTTAAGACAATTTACAATAGCTATTTGTAATGTATTTTAATAAATATTGTTTCCTCCATGCAAATATACTCAACATCTTCACTGCCTTTATTGTGCTGAGTCGTACTGAGGGGCAGTAGTGCCCATGAAGGTGTTTCAAGCCCTGTAGGAACAAAACCTTGAACCTCAGTAGCTACTGAGGTGTAGTCTTATTTTTAGTCGTAATGAACCACGACAGGTGTTTCCTGACACTAGTCGTGGTCGTCAGGAAGCACGACAGGTGTTTCCTGACACCAGTCGTAGTGGTCAGGAAGCACGACGAAAGTCTCCAGTTAGGTCTCGTGAGTTAGTTGATGTACATTTGTTTGGTCTCGTGAGTTAGTTGATGTACAGTTGCTAGGTCTTGTGAGTTAGTTGATGTACAGTTGCTAGGTCTCGTGAGTTAATTGATGTACAGTTGCTAGGTCTCGTGAGTTAATTGATGTACAGTTGCTAGGTCTTGTGAGTTAGTTGATGTACAGTTGCTAGGTCTCGTGAGTTAATTGATGTACAGTTGCTAGGTCTTATAGTTGATTAAGTTGATTTTTAGGTACAGTTGCTAGGTCTCGTGAGTTAATTGATGTACAGTTGCTAGGTCTCGTGAGTTAGTTGATGTACAGTTCTAGGTTCTCGTGAGTTAGTTGTGTACCATTTTGCTGGGTCTCGTGATTTAAAGTTTGAGGAACACAAGGGGGCCTTTTTGGGCTTACAAATAATGGGGGGTTTAATGAAACCTCTCTCCGTTTTCCTACGATAAATATCCATACATTTTTCCCCGGGTTTAAAGTGGCCCTTTGGGTAGAGGTTTGGTGGGGGAAAACTTTTTTTTTAAAAAAAGGGTTCATAAAAAACCCATATTCATCTTGTTTTGGGTACACATTTGTTATTTGGGACGGGGGGGTGTGAAGGGGTTTCTTGTCCCGTGTTAAACGGGAACTTTAAAATGAAATTTTACAGGGGTTTTTTTACAGGGAAACTGAATCCCACGGGCCCTTTTACTGTAACTATAAGAACGCCTCGAATGAATGAATTTTGGGGGCAAGGGACACGAAAAATGTAACAAAACTCAAACATAAGTCAACACACTTTGATTTCTTGCTGGAAGGTTGAGGCGGAGGGAAATAAAGGTAGAGGAAAAGAAGCAAAGTCCTCCATGAGGAAAGCCCCGTGGTTTCGGAAACAGAAAGTCAGGGGGGCTGGGGCGAGGTCCCGAAAAGGCTCCACTGGGCTCGGGGTAGATCCTCTCACTCCACGGGAAAGAAGCAAAATTTTGGGGGCATTTTTCAAGGGTCGGGCCTTAAAAAAACATTCAAGGGGCGATTTCCCCCCTCTCCCCAAAAAATTTAAAAGAGTACTTTAAAAAAAAAAATCTTTTAAAATTAAAAAAACCTGTCTTTTTAACTCGGGTAAACGTAAATAGTGGATACAGGATTCTTAGGAAAAGGAGAAAAGGGACCGGCTTTGACGGGAAAACAAGGGGCCGCACTATCTTCGACGGGGAAGCCCATATGCGGGCGGGCACATGTCCTCTCAACGGGAATGGGGCGGGCGGGAAACCCGGAGACTTCACTAGTGGGGGAATTTGGGGTTTCAGTATTTTTTAAAGGGGTTTTCCCACAGGGTGGAAAGCAAGGGTTTTTGGGCGAATCCGGGCAGAAAATGTTCCTCAAATTTTTCGGGAGTCCTCCCAAATAGTCCCCCCTTTAATTTCAAGTCAAATGATTAACTTGGCTTTTCAATCGATGCTCAGGAGGCTATTAAAGTCCCCGTAATTCGATTTAAAAAAATTCTGTGTGGGGGCTCACTTTGTCAATTGGTTTTTGGGTTTTTTTAATTTTTGGGCTACGGTATTCGAAAGTATGAAGGTGCCCAAGGGCCCTAGTAAAAATCGACAATTTGGCTACTTCCCTTTTTCCTGCCTTGGGGGGCCCTTTATATTTTTTTTTTGACTGATGAAGTCACTGCGTGGGGAAACGTTTCCTCAAAGAAGATGAAATCCCAAATGTTGGCAAAGTGTCCTTTAAAACCCCACCCGGGTGGGAAAAAACCCCCCCGGTCAGAGCCCCTAAAACCCCAGACCACGGGGGTAGGGCCCCTGGAAACCCAAAGGCTACTCTCTGGATTTTAAAATCCTGACCGCGGGGGTTGTATCCCCACCCGTGTTATGGTTTTTTTGGGAAAAAACCCCTGTCATTAAAGATTTCATGATTTAAAATGTGTCTAAAAAATTTTCAACTTGTGGGGTTTTCTGAAACCAATTATCTACAGGAGGAGAAGCAGTTTCTTTGGGGTGGGGGTTTTCAGAGGGGTTTTATGGAGTGTTGTTTAAGTTTAAACCGGTTTACCTGGAGAGTGTTTCGGGGGGCAACGCCCCCCCGGGGGGGCCCGGTCTGTGACCAGGCCCCCCTGGTGGGTCCAAACGCCTGATCAACCAGGGTGTTGCTGGGTGGGTGGGAGCCCAAACCAACGTACGAGCCCACAGCCCGGGGTGATCAGGAACTGCCTTTAGGTGGGTTTTTCCGTGGGCCCGCTTGAAGACTGGGCCCGGGGTCTGTTGGAATCCCCCTTATGTTGGGGTGGTAGGCATTGAACCGTCTCGGGCCCCTGACCCTTATTGTATGGGCCCTTTTAAAGTGCCCAGTGACAACCCCCTGCTTTTTATTGGGGGGATGGTGGGTCGTCTGCCAATCTTTTGCTTTTCGTATTTAGTGGGTTTTCCGTGTGGGGAAGTTCGGTAAAAAATTCCCCCTAGGATTTTCCAGGTGTATATAATCATGTTTTTTCTCCCCCTGCGTTCCAGGGAATACAATTTAGAAACCTCAACGCTCCCAGTAATTGGGGGTGTTTTTTCTCCGTTATTTGGGGCCCTGAAAGTTCTCTGTAAATTTTCTAGGGCGGGGGCCCCAAATTTTAACCCCGCCCTTTAAAGGTGGGTGTTAGAGTGGGGAGGGGAATATTCCAGCCTAGATAAAAACAAGTGACCTGAAGAGTTCATCATGGGTTTCCTCCCTAGTTTTGAAGGTTCTCAATTTTTCCATCCTGTCATTTTTTCTAGCAGATGGGGGATTTATACAATGTTTTTGGTTTTCCTTTAAAGGGGAATCCTCCGACATAATCCTCCCAGGTTTTTTGACTTGGTGTTTCGCTCCCATTTGTGGCCAAAAATTTTTTTTTACTCGATGAAGATTTAAATTTCCCCCATGTTTACCCATATCTGAGTAATTGAAATTCTCATCGTTGAACTTTATATTGTTTTTTTGGGGAGCCCACTGAAAGATTTGGTTGATGTCCGCCCCGGAGCCTTTCAGTGGGCTGGGGAATGGAAGACACTGTCATGCAGATTCGGGTGTCATCTGCAAAGGAAGACACGGTGCTGTGGCTGACATCCTTGTCTATGTCGGATATGAGGATGAGGAACAAGAGGGACTAGTACTGTGCCTTGTGGAACAGAGCTTTTCACCGTAGCTGCCTCGGACTTTACTCTGTTGACGACTACTCTCTGTGTTCTGTTAGTGAGGAAATTATAGATCCATCGACCAACTTTTCCTGTTATTCCTTTAGCGCGCATTTTGTGCGCTATTACGCCATGGTCACACTTGTCGAAGGCTTTTTGCAAAGTCTGTATATATTACATCTGCGTTCTTTTTGTCTTCTAGTGCATTTAGGACCTTGTCGTAGTGATCCAGTAGTTGAGACAGACAGAGCGACCTGTTCTAAACCCATGTTGCCCTGGGTTGTGTAACTGATGGGTTTCTAGATGGGTGGTGATCTTGCTTCTTAGGACCCTTTCAAAGATTTTTTATGATATGGATGTTAGTGCTATTGGTCTGTAGTTCTTTGCTGTTGCTTTACTGCCCCTTTGTGGAGTGGGGCTATGTCTGTTGTTTTTAGTAACTGAGGGACGACCCCCGTGTCCATGCTCCCTCTCCATAGGATGGAAAAGGCTCGTGATAGGGGCTTCTTGCAGTTCTTGATGAACACAGAGTTCCATGAGTCTGGCCCTGGGGCAGAGTGCATGGGCATGTCATTTATCGCCTGTTCGAAGTCATTTGGCGTCAGGATAACATCGGATAGGCTTGTGTTTAATCAAATTTTGTGGCTCTCTCATAAAAATTCATTTTGATCTTCGACTCTCAGTCTGGTTAGCGGCTTGCTAAAAACTGAGTCATATTGGGACTTGAGTAGCTCACTCATTCCTTGCTGTCATCTGTGTAGGACCCATCTTGTTTAAGTAGGGGCCCAATACTGGACGTTGTTCTCGATTTTGATTTGGCATAGGAGAAGAAATACTTTGGGTTTCTTTCGATTTCATTTATGGCTTTAGTTTCTTCCCGCGATTCCTGACTCCTAAAGGATTCTTTTAGCTTAAGTTCGATGCTTGCTATTTCTCTGACCAGTGTCTCCCTGCGCATTTCTGATATATTGACCTCTTTTAGCCGCTCTGTTATTCTTTTCCGTCGCCTGTAAAGGGAGCGCCTGTCTACTTTCTATTTTACATCTACTCCTCCTTTTTCTTAGAGGAATAAGCCTTGTGCATACATCGAGTGCCACCGAGTTAATCTGTTTCTAGGCATAAGTTTGGGTCTGTGTTGCTTAGTATATCTTCCCAGCTTATATCGGTTAGGACTTGGTTTACTTGGTCCCACTTTATGTTTTTGTTATTGAAGTTGAATTTGGTGAATGCTCCTCGTGACTAGTCTCATTTTGTCGGTCTGAGGCTCCACGCATACATGTCTGAACCTCAATTATGTTGTGATCTGAGTATATTGTTTTTGATATGGTGACATTTCTTATCAGATCATCATTGTTAGTGAAGATGAGGTCTAGTGTATTCTCCATCTAGTAGGCTCTATTATTTGCTGGTTTAAATTGAATTTTGTGCAGAGATTTAAAAGCTCGTGTGAGTGTGAGTTTCATCAGAGCTGCCTCCTGGTGTTATTACTGCAACAATATTATTTGCTATATTCCTCCATTTTAGGTGCCTTAAGTTGAAATCCCCCAGGAGCAAGATGTTGGGTGCAGGAGCTGGAAGATTTTCCAGACAGTGGTCAATTTTTAACAGCTGTTCCTGGAATTGCTGGGATTTGCATCCGGAGGCTTGTAGACTACCACAATGACTAGGTTTTGGTTCTCGACCTTTACTGCTAAAACTTCCACTACGTCATTTGAGGCATTAAGCAGTTCTGTGCAAACAAGTGACTCTGCAATGTACAGGCCAACCCCCCCCCTTTTGCCTGTTCACTCTGTCACATCTGTATAGGTTGTAACCTGGATCCATATTTCGTTGTCCAAGTGATCCTTTATGTGGGTCTCAGTGAAAGCCGCGAACATTGCCTTTGCCTCTGCAAGCAGTCCACGGATGAAAGGTATTTTGTTTGTTTATTGCTGGCTTTAGACCTGTATATTTGCAAAGAAGAATGTTATCGGACTGGTGGTATTGTTGGTACTGGGGGGGATTTTTTTTTCCGGCATTAGTATCTGTATCTGTTGGTTTGGAGTGGAGGCCATCGACTGTGGTTCCACTCCAGGAATGACTGGATTTGGTGTACGATTTCTGCCATTTCCTGCCAGTTTTTTTTCCTTCCTGGCACTAAAAAAACCTCTCCCTCTTGAGTGGCTGTGGCTACCCAGGTTTTCCCCATGGCCTGGATGTTTTGTATCTTTTTGTCCCCTTTAGATGGTATGCCTGGCAATTTAAGTTATAGCACAGTCTTTCCTGTACTGAAGAGGTACACATTTCAGGGTGAAAAAGCTTACAGGAAGGGAGTTTGCATTTTCCTGTTGTCATATGGGCATGACATTTTCTAGGGTGGTCATAGTTGCATGTCCCATCTGTTTTTCCAGATTTCCCATGCCAGCAGATAAGTTGTAGCATTTCTTTTTTTTGTGTGATTTTATTTGACCGCAGCAAAAAACACTGCTATTATTTCTGTACTCTCTAAATCTTAAACAGGCCCACATAAATACCAGGGCCACATAAATACTGGGGCCACATAAATACCAGGGCCACACCAGAACCATAAGAATACAAACGAAATGGAATCATTGAGACCCACTGTTTTCGTATGGCCCAACTTGAAATAACTAGCAGCAGTTGTGATGAATGTTTTGAAAAACCGACAAGTTGGAGATTGAGACACTTATGCAGCATATGGGAATCTTTATTCAGGAAACGTTTCGCCACACAGTGGCTTCATCAGTCCAATACAAAGAGGAAGGCGTTTCCTGAATAAAGATTCCCATATGCTGCATAAGTGTCTCAATCTTCAACTAGCAGCAGTGTACTAGTGAGTTTTTGGTAAGATGTGAAAAGTTTTGTGGGCCGGTTTTAAGTTTTGTGTAGAGTGTTACTGATAATTTAGTGGATAAGTTTTGTATATGTAAGTTAATCTGTCCTTCCCAGTAGTCAACCCTCAAGTATTGTCTAGCTGTTTAGCGTTTTTGGTAAATTTACCTTTGTGGCCCTAGAGCTGCAAAGATAAATATTTTATATGCCCCAACACCAGGGTTTTAATGCCCAAGGTGCCACCAAGGTGCCACCAAGGTGCCAGATGAAACACATAATAATGAGCCATGTGACTAATATGAAGCAAAAAACTGATAGCCAGGCAGTATATCAGGCAAAGAACTGATAGCCAGGCAGTATATCAGGCAAAGAACTGATAGCCAGGCAGTATATCAGGCAAAGAACTGATAGCCAGGCAGTATATCAGGCAAAGAACTGATAGCCAGGCAGTATATCAGGCAAAGAACTGATAGCCAGGCAGTATATCAGGCAAAGAACTGATAGCCAGGCAGTAAAATCAGGCAAAGAACTGATAGCCAGGCAGTATATCAGGCAAAGAACTGATAGCCAGGCAGTATATCAGGCAAAGAACTGATAGCCAGGCAGTATATCAGGCAAAGAACTGATAGCCAGGCAGTATATCAGGCAAAGAACTGATAGCCAGGCAGTATATCAGGCAAAGAACTGATAGCCAGGCAGTATATCAGGCAAAGAACTGATAGCCAGGCAGTATATCAGGCAAAGAACTGATAGCCAGGCAGTATATCAGGCAAAGAACTGATAGCCAGGCAGTATATCAGGCAAAGAACTGATAGCCAGGCAGTATATCAGGCAAAGAACTGATAGCCAGGCAGTATATCAGGAAAAGAACTGGTAGCCAGGAAGTATATCAGGAAAAGAACTGATAGCCAGGCAGTATATCAGGCAAAGAACTGATAGCCAGGCAATATATCAGGAAAAGAACTGATAGCTAGGCAGTATATCAGGCAAAGAACTGATAGCCAGGCAGTACATCAGGAAAAGAACTGATAGCCAAGCAGTGTATAAGGCAAAGAACTGATAGCCAGGCAGTATATCAGGCAAAGAACTGGTAGCCAGGAAGTATATCAGGCAAAAAAAATGATAACCATACAGTATATCAGGCAAAGAACTAATAGCCAGGCAGTATATCACGCAAAGAATTGATAGCCAAGCAGTGTATAAGGCAAAGAACTGATAGCCAGGCAGTGTATCAGGAAAAGAACTGATAGCCAAGCAGTGTATCAGGCAAAGAACTGATAGCCAGGCAGTATATCAGGTAAAGAGCTGATAACAAGGCAGTGTATCAGGCAAAGAACTGATAATTAGGCAGTATATCAGGTAAAGAACTGATAGCCAGGCAGTATATCAGGTAAAGTGCTGATAGCCAGGCAGTATATGAAGCAAAGAACTGACCTGTACTCTTCAGATATTTCTGTGACGATTTCATCGAGTTGTTCGTGGAAGTAGACCTGAACCTTGACATCTGCCGGGTTGGTGATCTCATGACCCAGCATTTCCTCCACCAGTTGTTGCCAGTTAATCTGAATTTGGACAAATTATTATGAGCAGTTGTAAGATTTCTTAGAGCGATTATAAGAATATGCAAGAAATGAATAAATAAGAATATTGGAAATTGGACTCTTTTTAAGCACTGCCACACGGGAACACGAGAATGGGTATATGTCCCATGCTGGGTACGTTCCTCTCACTGGTTTTTTCTCACTGGTCCACTCACTTAAACCAACAGCTTCTTGTACTCTTTCAAAAATCTAAATTTATCCAGCATGAATCCATTATTTCGTTTTCTTTCTTGGGTGCCGCAAAATGCCCTTCTCACACTATACCACTCACTTATTTATCCATACCTCACCTATGCTATTTGTGCTTGGGGATCAACTGCAGCAACACACCTAAAGCCAATAATAACCTAACAAAACAAAAAGCTGCAGTAAGAATAATCACTAAATCCGATCCCTGGCAACACCCCCCCCCCCCCCCCACTCTTCATAGATCTAAACTTACTCCCTCTTCAGTACAATCCACAGTTACTACTGTGCAATCTACATCTACAGGACCTTAAACTCCAATATCAACCTTGACCTAAAACGCTTTCTTGATAGTTGTGACAGAACCCACAGGCATAACACCAGAAACAAACATCTCTACGACATTCCCCGTGTCCGACTAAACCTTTACAAAAATTCAACGTATGTCAAAGGCCCTAAAATCTGGAACACCCTACCTGAGAACTCTAGAACTGCAGACACATTCCTCACCTTCAAAACTACCATTAGAAAACATCTTATCTCCCTGATACACCCCGTCAACTAACTACACGAATACAACCTGGTGGTTCACACTTACACTCACTCACCCATTTGACCATAAACAGAAATATTAATCTCAATCTTAAAATAATGAATCCTGTGATACTCCAATACTGAAACTATGTACTGTGCCAAAACAAAAGCATTCACATTGTTAAACTCACAAACTAGTATTTAGTCACTTAACCATAATACCAACCTACCTCATAATTTGTAATATTTTAAAATTAAGAATTAAACTAAGTCTGCCCGAAATGCCTAGCCATGCTAGGTGTTCTAGTGGTACACTCTGTAATCATTATTTTACTACATGTAAACCACACAATAACTAAATTCTGTAAACTCAGCATTGTAATCCTTATAGAGAATAAACTTTGAATTTGATTGTCTTCCACTGGTATACTACAGTCATATATCTCTTCTCGTTCTACGTCTTTCAAGAGAGTGTAGGTTTAGTACTTTAAGCTATTCTCAGACGAAAGATTTATTAAGCAGTGGATTAATTTCGTCATCCTCCTCTGCACAGATATTCATGCTATAATAATAAGATCAGTACTGAAGAGCATAATCTAAGAGGATTACTGTTACTAATAGTTTTTCATGTAAATATATTACGCATGCTTAGGTACTGTTGTCTAGGCTTCAGATTTCTGCTTACCATGACTCCCGACTCCCAAGTCTTTATCTCGTTCTGTATGATCAGGTTCCACATCTCTTGCTTTATAAGTATGATGAATATTTTAATTCCAGAGGATTATTAGGTCTTTTTACACTTAATCACGTTTAACTGCATCTGCCATTTTTTTTAACCATAACATTAACTTCTCCAGATTTTCAAAAAAAAAATCCATGGTATCGTCCTCCAAATCTATTTTTTTTTTTTGTACCGTCACCCTTTCTTCCCTCGCCAAGGTTTGAAATATAAATTATGAACAACAATGAGCCTAAAACTGATCCTTGCGGAATGCCACCTGTGACCGATGCCTCGATCCATAAGTGAACTTTTCCTCTAATTCTATATGCAGCCACTTTCCTTAACATTCTTCCAAATCCATATAAAAGCCATCGTATTTTTTAACATTGTACTCGGCCTCAAATGCTTTACTGAAGGTCAGTAATGGTGTTCAAAGGAACGACCCTGAATGACTCACAAGGATTTAGAGCTTCGTACAAATGAAACGATAATCAGAGTTCAATGAAAAACAGAGTTTAGTAATTTTAGAAAGACTGGAGAACATTATGTGTGATCAGACCCTCGACTGTGTAACTAAAACCAAACTAGATAAATGTTTTAAATCAAGAAGCATTTGGGGAAACTGCTCAGTGCGGATGACTCAAACAATATAAATACAGAAATTATAATCTAAAACAATTATTGTTGAAATTTCAAGAGTCGAAATCCATGACAAAGACGAGATAGTTATGAGACTTTAAACACTGAAAAAAAAAACTTTCTCAACATGTACAAGAGAGATGAATTTGACAAGAGATTAAACGATAGTCTTAAGTTTAACCCGAAATGCCCCTGTATATATAGAAGCTTTCTGCATGCACGCCTAAATATCATTTACCTTTGTACAAACATTGTATAATGCTGAAATAAAAAACGTAAATCTAAATCTAGAGTTGACGACCTACTATGATCTAACAGAAAAATACATCAGCATAGTCAGTTATTGAGTAGAGTGAGAGAAGGCAACACAATCAATACTAAACCTGTCAACTCCTGAAGAATAAAAAGATCACAATACCGTGGGTGGAAGATCACAATACCGTGGCTGGACAGAAACGTCGTCATAAGTTTCATTCTCCAATATGTGTTACCTGTGTACTGTCAACTACTGGAAATGAGGAAGAAACTTTCAAAATAAATTTAACTCACTTTGAATAAAGCAATCATGTTCTTCTGGAAATAGTGCATTGCAAATAGCTATTTATAACGCATTATTCTAAGGACTATAGTCCTTAGAATACTAAATCAACTGCTCTGGGGAAAATTAATCTATATATAGCTAAATGTTCCAAACCTCATCGTTTTAGTCACTACCTGTGAGACCTCAGAGATGTGATAAGTTATTCCTTAAAGAGAATTTCCTGTGACAAATATCTTTCTATAATACATTAGACCGTCGATTAACACTGTAGTTACGTTCCTGAAAATTGCGTGTAAAACGAAATTTTCTATGACAAAAGACTTTCTATAATATTTTAATTCTGATTTATTCCTTATTGCTTTCTACTGTTCCACATTTCCATTCTAATATTTTTTTACTGTTTTATACTAGTAATTGCATTCAAAATCATAATTTCATTTAAGCTTAAAGAAAGACCATCTTATACATAATTTAACAATACTTACTTCTGAAGACGTGAAGACTGGTCCATGGTCTAGCTGCTCAAGAGTAAATTCTTGGTATTCCTTCCTGATATTTCCCCTGCATAGGTCTGGAATCTCTGGCATGTGCTGAGGAGAAACAAATATATGACGAGTGATTTTTCATACCTACTGTGTTATTTTGGTAGATATTGGATATACTGCATGCATCCCTCCCCTTGCTTTGTGTGCCCAAAGTTGAGAATTCTTCCTCTGTAAGTCATGAATGTCGTAACAGGAGACTAAAATGTAAGGAGCATTTTAGTAACCTCTAACCTCTTTAATAACGTAGTAACCTCTTCTCCTTATATAAATTAATAGAAAGAAAAAAAACGAAATTTTAATAGTGGGCTGTCTGAATGTGTGTGGGTGTAATCTAAATGTGAAGAAAGAATTGACTATGAATGTTATGAATGAAAAGAAGCTGGATATCCTGGCTCTAAGCAAAACAAACCTAAAGGGGAGGGGGGGGGTATGTGCTATGACATTTTCAGCAGCAAAGCGTAAATGGCATTAGGTCAGGTATATCTGAGATAATCAGAGCTAAGGAAGGAGCAGCAGTATTGTTAACCCTTTCAGGGTCCAAGGCCAAAATCTGAAGTCACGCACCAGTGTCCAAGAAATTTTGAAAAAAAAAAAAAATTATTTTTTCTTACAGAATTAAAGAGCATATTTTTGTGAAGGTAATAAAACAAAAAAAATTTGAATCTGATCAGTACTTACCGAGATACAGTGCCAAGAAGTTTGTAGAAAATGATGTGGTGGCGGCAACATCGACGAATTCCACATACGCGTATTATATTATTTTGTTGTTTTAGTTGTTTTTTCTTTTCTTTTCCAATTTTTTTCTATTCCTACTAACATTTGGGGCCTGAGAGACCAATACTGTATATAATGTATATATATAAACTCACTGTATTGAACACAATAACCGCACTAAAGTTATTATCATATTATTGTTTACCACTGTTGTTTATTACAATAAACATGCACAAATATTGTATAATACTAATGTTCTATCATATATTTACATATTTACAATCACTGGACATGGTTTTAGAACTGCTGGAGCTTGTGGAACTCCTTGAAACAAGGCACCATGCACAGAGGCACCTTACATTCCTCACACATAAACCGAGTGTCTTTGCGTCTTTGTTGCCGTCGTTTTGTTTGTGCACAGACAATGCATCTCTTCTGAGCAAATTTCTTTTGAGTTGAAGGAAGCTGTATTATGAAATGATCACCTTCTCTTCTCAAACGCTTGGGTATATTGTGATGAATTCGAGGACCATGTTGTATTGCAGGTGTTGTTACCTGGTACTTCATTATGAGTTGTCTGACAACAGACAAACAAAATTCACCATACGGTGGTCTGTTACCAGTCTTTATTTGGTACATATTATATGCATTCAGCATTGAAATGTCCATGAGATGGAAGAAAAGTTTCATGTACCACTTGTAACTCTTACGAACACAGTCAACAAAACCAATCTGCATGTCATACTTGTCAACCAAGCGCATGTTTTGTGTATAATCAATCACTGTCACTGGTTTTCGAATACGTTCATTAGTCACTCGATCAACTTTGCCACTGTCTTGCATTTCATTACGGTGAATGGTTGTCAACAATGTGACATCTCGTTTGTCATGCCACCGTAATGCCATGATGTCATTGGCAGTAAACACCTGCACGTCATCACCACGAACACCTGCGTTGAGCCTGGGCATATGTTTACGATTAGAACGCACTGTGCCACACACATCTGTCTTGTTTACTCGCATGAAATCACTGAGTAATGGGCTTGTGTACCAGTTATCGGTATATAATGTATGGCCCTTACCAAGATAAGGTGCCATCATGTTTCTCACTACGTCACCTGATATACCCAATAACATCTTGGTATCTTTCAATGTTTTACTACCCGTGTATACAACAATATCCAACACCAGGCCACTGTCACAATCACAGAGTACAAACAATTTTATACGATGACCTCATAGCATTACTAAATTCCTTACATGCCAATATGTCCATCATTACACTAACTGAAACCTGGCTAAAGCCTGATAGTACAGATGTCTATGCCATTCCTGGTTACACAGCCATACATAACTGTAGGCCAGACCAGCAAGGGGGTGGCACAGCCATATACTACTCAGACCAACTAGAATGTATCACTAATACTTGCACAAGAGATGAACATGGGGAATATATAATAGCCAAATTCAAATCCAAATACCTACAAAAACCTCTCACATTGATAAACATCTACAGAGTTCCACAGTCAAACATTAGCCAATTTAGTCAAAACCTAGGAAGTATGATAACTGATGCACGCATGAACAAAGATCACTTACTACTCTCATGTGACTTCAATATAAATCTCCTGCAAGACCAGGACCCACACGTTACTGAATTCACAAACACAATGAGTAACTGTATGTTGCTACCAACAGTAACAAAACCTACAAGAGTTACAGAGACTAGTGTTTCCCTACTTGACCACATCTGGACCAACACCATATCCCCTTTAAAATCAGGCATAATTACAGATAATACCACAGACAACTACCCTACTTTCCTCATAACAACTCTTGGTAAATTACCCCAAGACACTACTAAAGTCACCTTCAGACTTCACAATGAGGCAGCCATTAATAACTTCACAACAGCAGTAGCAAACATTGACTGGCACACTGAGCTAGAAATCAATACAGATATTGACGAATGTATTAATAATTTTCTAAAAAGACTCAATACCTCTATAACAAGCACTGCCCTAAAAAAACTAAGCAGATGACAGCTAAGAGACTGAACAGTCCCTGGCTAACACCCAGCATTCTCAAATCCATAAATACAAAACACCAATATGAAAAACAGTACAGAATGGGTCACATAACCAGAGACCAAACAAAACGTTACTCGTCAATCCTAACCAGCCTGATAAGAAGGGCAAAAAAATTGATTATGAGAACAGATTATCCAACTTACGAGGTGATATAAAAAGACCTGGAAAACCCTATCAGAAATTCTGGGAACAAAAAAGATATCACGGAAATAGCGAAATAAAATTAGCAAAATCAGATGAACCCCAACTCCCACCAACAGAAACAGCAAACAGACTCAATGATTTCTTCTCCACTATAGGACAAAACCTTGCCAATAAATCCCAAGCTCAGATACCCCACCAAATGACTACCTCACCGGCACTACCCGAACACACTGTTCCTAGCTCCGACTAACCCATACGAAGTCTCCCTATTATCAACGCACTAAAAAACAAGGCAGGAGATTTAAATACCTTACCACCCTTTATATACAAAAAAGTGTCACAAGTGCTATCACCAATCATTGCAACACTCTTTAACAAATCCATTGAATCCTCCACCTTCCCTACATTACCCAAAATAGCAAGGGTCACCCCGATCCACAAAGGAGGAGACCAAACAGAGTTGAATAACTATAGGCCAATATCCAACTTACACCCTCTCTCAAAAATCTTCGAAAAATTAATTCATAAACGAATCTACTCCTACCTTATCTCCCAAAACATACTCAACCCCTGCCAATTTGGATTCAGCCTAATAAAAATACTAATGATGCTATTATACACATGCTAGAAACATATATACACTGCAATAGAGAAAAAGAAGTCCCACTGGGGATCTTCATTGACTTACGTAAAGCTTTTGATACAGTTGACCATGACTTGCTCCACGTAAAATTGTCACACTATGGTATAAGAGGGCACTCCCTCAACTACCTCAAGTCATACCTCAGCAACAGAAGCCAATATGTGTACGCAAATGGGGCAAACTCTTCTGCACAACCAATTACAGTTGGTGTCCACAGGGAAGTGTCCTTGGCCCTCTTCTCTTTCTCCTATACATAAATGACCTACCAAATTGCTTCTCAATTACTCAACCCACACTATTTGCTGATGACACAACATACGTCTTCTCCCACCCGAGCCCAGTCACGCTAGCCAATACTGTAAATACCGAATTACAGAAAATATCTACCTGGATGAGTACTAACAAACTTACACTAAACATTGACAAAACCTACTTCATTCAGTTTGGTAACAGAGCTACAGATGTCCCTCTTAACATAATGATAAACGGATCACTATCACAAAGCTTACAGAGGGAAAATTCTTAGGAATCCACCTTGATAATAGACTCAAATTTCATACACATATACAACAAAATTTCTAAGAAAATTCCAAGACTGTAGGCATACTATCGAAGATACGGTACTATGCTCCACAGTCAGCCCTCTGGCCCTATATCACTCTCTTATTTACCCCTATCTCACCTATGGAATTTGTGCATGGGGCTCAACAACAAGTAACCATCTCAGACCACTAATTACCCAACAAAAGGCTGCAGTTAGAATGATAACAATTCTCACTACAGGCAGCACACTCCACCAATATTCAATACACTCAACCTACTCACCATACAAAACATCCATACTTATTACTGCACCTATTACATACATAGAACACTCAACTCTGATATTAACCCTCCCCTCAAACATCTCCTTGCCAACCTCAACAGAACACATGACCATAACACAAGGCACAGATCACTCTTTGATATTCCTCGTGTCCATCTCACGCTATGCAAAAACTCAATGCACATAAAAGGCCCTAAAATCTGGAATTCATTACCTGTAAATATAAAAGAAACACTACCTGTTTATAAATTCAAGTCTCTTCTCAAAGATCACTTATTTTTTTTTATTTTTTTTTTATTATCACACCGGCCGATTCCCACCAAGGCAGGGTGGCCCGAAAAAGAAAAACTTTCACCATCATTCACTCCATCACTGTCTTGCCAGAAGGGTGCTTTACACTACAGTTTTTAAACTGCAACATTAACACCCCTCCTTCAGAGTGCAGGCACTGTACTTCCCATCTCCAGGACTCAAGTCCGGCCTGCCGGTTTCCCTGAATCCCTTCATAAATGTTACTTTGCTCACACTCCAACAGCACGTCAAGTATTAAAAACCATTTGTCTCCATTCACTCCTATCAAACACGCTCACGCATGCCTGCTGGAAGTCCAAGCCCCTCGCACACAAAA